TTTCCCTGTTCCCGGTGCCATTTCCCTGTTCCCGGTGCCGTTTCCCTGTTCCCGGTGCCGTTCCCCTGTTCCTGGTGCCATTTCCCGGTTCCCGGTGCCGTTTCTCTGTTCCCGGTGCCGTTTCCCGGTTCCCGGTGCCGGTGCGGAGCTGAGCCCGTCCCTCCCCGCAGGGCTACCGGAGGGTCTGGGCCGGGCTGCTGGGGCTCAAACTCGCCTTCTACACCGGGCCCCAGGACCACGAGGTACCGGGGCTCCTCCGGGCGCGACCCCCGGGACTGGGACCCCCGCCCGGGCTGTCCGGCCGGGCCCGGGGGGTTTCTCGGGACTGGGACCCCCGTGGGACCCCCCGAGGCTGGAGACACCCCCGGGCTGGGACCCCTCAGGGTGGGACCCCCAGGACAAGAACCTCTGGGTGGAACTGGGGGGGCTCCCCCAGGCCGGGACCCCCAAGATTGGGACCCCCCCTCCTGTGCGGGCCCCAGAGACGCCCCTGGGGCGGGATCCCCTCAGGGTGGGACCCCTGTGCCCCCTCCCCGAGCTGGGACCTGTCTGGTGAGACCCCCCCCAGGATTGGGGACCCCCTCCGTAAACCCCCCTGGGCAAGGACCCCCGAGGTTGGGACCTTCAGGTGACACTGGGGGGACCCTGGCTGAGGTGGGGGTGGCCCGGGGGGGCTGCGGCTGGACGTGCTCGTGTCCCTGGGCCGGGGGTCCCACCCTTGGGTGCCCCCAGCCCCTGGAGCTGCTGGACCTGGGCGAGCTGGTGACCGTGCAGGCCGAGGACGGGGCGCTCGTCCTCAGGCTGAGGGGACAAGAGGTGACAATGAAGGTGAGGGGCAGCCACGGGGGGGGCCATGGGGGGCTGGGGGTACCCGGGGGATCTGGGGGTACCTGGAGGGGGGATCTGGGGGTACAGAGGGGACAGGATTTCAGGGCTGGGGGGGGTTTGGGACAGGGACCGCGGGAGGCATTGGGGAGTGTAAGGGAAGGATTTAGGGACACAGAGGGGACAGGATTTTGGGACTGGGGGGACTGGAGGGCAGATGGGGAAGGACTTTGGGGTACAGGGGATGCACAGGGGTGGGGGGGCTGTGGGATTTGGGGCCAGGGGACTGCAGAGACCTGTGGGGGCACAAGGGACAGGCCACCCTCATGTCCCTGTGTCCCCTGGCAGACGGAGAGGTGGGACACGCAGGAGATGTGGCGGGGATTCATCCTGACCATGGCCAAGGTGGGCACGGGGCGCTGCCCGGGGGTCCCGGGGCGACAGGGACGTCTCTGTGCCATCACCGCCACCACCGCCGTGTCCCCCGCAGATGAAGATGCCCCGGGACCTGGCGCTGCTGCCCGGACACAACATCCAGCTCCTGGAGGCTCTGCGGGAGGAGCGGGAGCGCAGGGACAGCGCCGTGTCCGCGGCCACCCCCGTGTCACCGACCACCCCGGTGTCACCGACCACCCCCGTGTCACCGACCAGCCCGGTGTCACCGACCATCCCCGTGTCACCGGCCACCCCCGTGTCACCGGCCACCCCGGTGTCACCGGCCACCCCCGTGTCACCGGCCACCCCCGTGTCACCGGCCACCCCGGTGTCACCGGCCACCCCCGTGTCACCGGCCACCCC